TACGGTTGAACAGAGGTACTGCTGTAGTCCTATGTGAATAGTTTAGATGCCACTCATATAATAGTTTGCTTGTCGGATAAAACAGCTATTATTTGAGGAAGCAGGCTCGGTTTAGAGAGGGAAGAAATGTGAAAAAAGTATGGTGGGTTAGGCAGAAAGTTGGTCCCAGAAGCTGCTCGCCTAATGAGGAAATTGTTTGGAAGCAGACAAGTAGGAACAAGCAGGTTTGTTACTTATAATGGGTAACACTGACAAAGAGCTGATTATCTGAACAGCCAGACTATTTGGAAAAGAGAAAGTCTATGCTAGTCCAGAGTAAAAGTTGAATACTGTAACACTGTTTGGCTTCCATACATCTGATGTTTATTTGGCTGTGTAGAAGAACCTTGGAGCCGACCTTTGTTACATTGTACATATACATCTGAAGATGATTTATGCTTTAGTAAAGACTGATTACATGGACTACTGCAAAGCTATTGCTAAGAAGTCCCTACAAAAACCTTTTTATAGTTCCAGAATTGGCTTATGTACAAAGGTATCAACATTTGTAGATTGTAAATGAATAGGACTGACATAATAAAAGGGGGAAGATATCAGGTTAGTGAATGCAATATATGAATGAAAGAAGAAAACAGATTATCCAGGCCTCGTTTATATTGGATTTTACCATACCATTTGTTGGCAAATGAATTGCCAATATCCACTGTAAAGAACCAGAGCTGTTCACTTGATAGATTTTAGATTGTGTTCTATTCAGACTAATGAAGTATGGGCACTATTAGCCTACTAATCAACGTGCATAGTGACATTCGTAGTATCTTATCAAATAAAACAAAGGATAATATGGTAGCAAAGCGCTGATAAGAAATAGAAACACCTACAAACACCTACTATTCAAAACCTGCTTTAGTTATTATAGAATAGCCAAATACATGGCAGAAGAAGTTATCTTTATTTGGAAAAATTATCTTTTTTTTGTTCTATAACCACTCGGCACTCATCCGCCCACAATGTACTGAGGACAGGCGGTCGCTCTAGGCAAAGCGGCATACCTGTATGTCGCTGTCTACCTCCAGGATTCTGGCGCATGCATTGACATTGATTGTACACAGTGGGAGCCTGTCAGAAAGTACTGGCCGATGATACATGGCTCGGACCTGCTAATCAGCTGTATAAAGCCTCAGCCCAGAGCTCTGTGCTGACATTCAACACAGAGATCTGAACACAGGGAACAAACTCTGTGTTTTCGTCCCTGCAAAGAAGGGATCAAAAACTTAGAGATCTATTAGTAAAAGCTGCACACTTTACACATATTACACATTGTTAGGCAAAAGTTTAACCCCTTGATCACCCTAGATGTTAACCCCTTCTCAGCCAGGGTTATTAGTACAGCGATAGTGTATAATATTATCACTGATCACTGTATTAATGTCACCTGTGATGTTAATTAGCCAGTTACCTCCAGCGTCAGTTAGTGTCAGATTGCCCGCTGCACTATCGCCATCCCGTTATAAGTCACTGATCACCGCCATCAGTAGTATAAAAAAAAATGTAATTTCAGTATATATACACCATAGTTTGGAGGCACTATAACTTTCATGTAAACCAATCAATATACACTTATGGGGATTTTGGTTTTTCATCACAGATGTAACAGAATACATTTTGGCCAGAATTTGGATATTTGGATATGTTTTATAGGAGAAAGTTAAAAATAATGTTTTTTTTTCAAACTTTACAGTCTTTTTTTCATTTATTTCGCAAAAAAAAAAATAAAAAAAAAAAACCCAGTGGTGATAAAATACCACAAAAAGAAAGCTCTATTTGTGTGAAAAAAATGATAAATTTCATTTGTATACAGCGTTGCATGACCGCACAGTTACCAGTTAAAGTAACGTGGTATAGCAAAATATGGCCTAGACATGATGGGGGTAAAATCTTCTGAAGCTCAAATGGATAAGTATGTTTAAAGTGTTACTAAACCCAGTACCCTGCATTCACTATATCTGGTCTCCCACAGTACACAGAACATGGAAGTGCAATTATTTTAGTAAATATAAAACTGCTAAATACCTTTTCTCATCAGCAGTTAGAGTAGTCTTGTGACTTCTATCAGTATTCAGCAGAGCACTGACTAAAGCTTGTTGAAGGAGTTTTCTTTCTGCTCTAGGAGGATGCAAAACCTCTGACCTCTGTCTGGACAGCGCTGATTGGCCCTGTGCTGATCACATGCACTCTCCCCCCAAAAAACAACCTAGCAATACACTAAACTGAGCATGTGCAGAAGGGCTACAGGGTGAGTCTGTCTTATCAGGAGAAGGAGGAGCAGAGAAGACAGGATCAAATGGCCTTTTTACACAATGCACAGGATTAACCCCTTAGGTTCCACAATGAGTATAACAAGCATGCTTTACTGCATATACAGACTGATTTTACTGTTGTGGATTTAGTAATGCTTTAATGGCTCATTTACATGGATGCAGAGGACAGTACACCATAAAAAAGAGCAAATTTCTGCACCCAGGAGTTATATGATGGTAGCCTGTACAAATCAACGGCAGGCTGTGGCTGTGCACTGATAACTGCCATAGGTACAGGGATGAATGTACTCTCTGGGACGTTAATCCATCTCTGTACACATATAAATGCTCAGATGTGCAACTACCATCGAACAGTCGCAGCCTGTCATTGACTTGTACAGGCTGCCTCCCGTGGCTGTACACAAACACCTGTACTCCCTGGCACAGAAATATATGCTTCAATTGATAGTATACAGTCCTCTGAGGCCATATAGCTAAGCCCTTTTATATATCATTTTTTATGATAAACCCATTGCAGCAAATGATAGGTATGATGTTTATCAAAGTCATTCACTTTCTGAAGTGGAAAGTAGAGTCTACTTACTGGGAGCACCGGGTTAATTTACTAAAGCTGGAGCATGCAAAATCAGGCTGACTACTGCATAGAAACCAATCAGCGTCCAGGTTTTATTATAAAAGCTTAATTGAACAAGCTGCGGTTAGAAGTTGATTGGTTTCTATGCAGAAGTGAGCCTGATTTTGCACTCTCCAGCTTTAGTAAATAAACCCCGTATTGTGAATTGATACTGCAGGGACACATTAAGGCTCAGTTCACTCTACTGCGATGTACTTTTGATGCTATTTTCCGTGTGATTATGTAGTGTGAATTTGGATGTGGTTTTTATATTCTATGCAGCTAAATTTCACTGAAATTGTGCCAAAGTAGCACAGGAACCTATCCCATAAAGGTTCGCACAAAGTTTCATTGATGTGAATTGGCACCATAGAAAAGAATATGCCTTACCTTGTCATGCAAATTCAAGTTGTATCAGAAATTGCACCACTGTGAACCAGCACTAAAGCAACCATTACATTTTTTACACTTTCTATTTCATGGTTTTGTTACTATATTAAACATAGATATTTGCAGACTAATCACTAAAGGGACCTCTCAGTGGCTCAGTCTATCATGAACTGAGGAGATAAGATATAAGCCACAAGGGAATGCATTGTCAGAAAGAGAAGTAAAGCACGACCATTGTGTCCTAGTACAAATATGGCTACCCCCATGCACATACATTATTACAAACTATACACAGACACATAATTATATCACTGATCACTGTAGTAGTGTCACAGGTGATGTCAGTTAGTCAGTTCCCCCCAGCATTAGTTACTGTCAGATTGCCCGGCGCATTATTGCCATCCTGTGTCACTGATCACCACCATTCGTAGTACTCTAGGTGGTTTATTATATATATATATATATATATATATATATATATAATATATATATAAATACCATTTACAAGTACCTGCAAAAAATACAGTATATGGTTAAAAAGGAGCTGACTGGATCCATTGTTTTGGCTTTTACAAATTCTATTTTTCTAAAATGAATATATGATCAGTCCTCCACATAACTGGAATGATGCTTTGCAGAATATCAGACCCTTAGTCAAAACCACTATTACAACAGTAAGCCCCAGGAAAATATTTTTTAGTGTGCTAGAAAAGCCAGAGATCTATTAGTAGGCATGGTGTTCAAATCGGTATGAGGAGGAATCCCAGTACAATGAAAAGCACATTAACATTTATCCAGAATATCTTTAGGCCTCAAGCACACTGGGCATTTCAATGTCTCCTCTAGCTTATGCGTTTAGGCGTGCGTAGGTGCATCAAGAATATGAGTGTTTATGGATTCCACTGGCTAGAATAATACTTTTTTTGGCCATTTGAGTAAATCAATGCACTGGTGATGTATTTCTTTTCTGCTTGTAAAGGTTCCTCTTCTAATATGCCTGCAAATGCCCATGCATGTATGGACACTTAGGCTAACATAGATGTGTGCTTACAGGCTGAAAAAAAAAGGTCAAATGCCTGTAAAAGAGATGTTTTTTTAAAGCCCTGTGTGCAAGAGCCTTTATTGAGCTCATACACTGCAACTTACTATGCAACGCATCATTGCATGAAGTAGTTCTTAGGGACTTATCAGAAATTAGCTTTTGACAGCAGGGTGTGGGCCGTCAATTTCTAATAGGTTGTTTATGACTGCTCTTTAAGGTTATTTGCCAGGATTGTATCTAGCGTTTTATTAAAGAGTGCATTGTGTCTTCAGGACAATAAGCACTTTCTAGGACAGCTGGCAGCAATCAGCATTTTACACTGCTGCCATTTAAACAATGACCAACTAACCTTTCTCATGTGTATCCTGCTTAACATTCACCCTGTGCTAGAAAAGTCTCTATAAGTCCTGTCCAGACATCTGTTTAACAGAGCTAAGCTGGTGTAGTAGTGGCTGAACACTCACATGTGGATTGCCTGACATCTGAACACATTACTGAAAATAACTGCTACGTGCCATACCATGGCCCTAATTACAGCTCCTGCCGTTACATATTATAAGGGATACAAGAAACACCTACATTTGCTCTATGTGAAAAGGAAACATCTCTTTCTTCATACGTGAATAAAACATACCTTTGATGATGGGCCATATTTTATATGCTTTCCTCTTTTGGATTCTTTGGTCCACACTTTGCTTTTATCTCTCATAGGGATAGTTTTAGGGTGCACCACAGAAGCTTTCTGCCTTGGTGGAGAACCCAGTATACCCCAGGATTTTGCACGTGCCATCTTGGCTGCTTGTGACCAGGCACAGGAAAAACCATATCATAATAACCATTATTGTCAGAATAAATGTCATTGTAAACATCCAAATCATATGTGTTGTCCCTTATTTTGCCTTTCCTTTTGACTTGGTCATTAGTATGCTTATTTTCTTCTTCCTCAAACAAGTTAAAGCTATCCTCCAGATTCACATACCCCTCAAGGGTGTTTGAGCATTCACTATCCAGATCCAAATCAGAATTAAAGGGCACTGTGGAATTCAGGGCTCTTAGAATCAGTAATGCTGCATGCAATTAGGCTGAAATCTAAGTCACTCTGCACTTTGGCATATAGAAGGAAGGGAGTGTGCTGGCCACAGTTAGAGATCCCTGATAATAAGTTGCCCACCATGTCACTACTGTCTACACAAGCCAAGCCAACCTGTTGCTCCTCTTGTTCTATAGCTGCTGCCTCTGGTTTATCATCTCCTTCAGCCAATGGACTGCACAGACCAGAGTCATCCTCTGATGTTAAAGAATGTGTTTCCTTTTTACATGAATTCAACGTATCAGATGCAGGACTCTCAGCATAAGAACTTTCACTCCTAGTGACATAATCTGCAAGGTTTACAGGTACAAAAAGCCTCCAGGATCGTCTGTGTTCCCTCTTCTCTGATTTCTGTCTATTTCTGGGTAAACCTCCAGGTCGGTTAATTTCTCTATTTAATTTGAGTGCATCGTAGATCATCTTTTCATCCAGTTTGTAGGGTTCATTGTCACGGTTTCTGGATTCATTGTTACAGGCAAGGGCACCATTGCTGCACAGAGTGCTGCTGTCCAGTGTTCTATTGCTATAAGGTAAGGTGCGATCTGTAAAATGCCTGGAGGAAAGACTGCCTTTACTACCAGAGTCAATCTGTTCATTTAGCCGGACTGTGTCATAAATAGACCTCTGAGGGACGTAACAATCTTCAATGTTAAAATCCTCTTCCTCCACCTTACCAACACATGGGGGGTTTCTGTCGTAAACAATCTGGCCTGCTTAAAGGCTTGCCCATATTCTAACACTGACAGGCAGCAGACAATACATAAACTGCTACAAAATTTGATCAAATCCTAATGAAACAGTGCACATATAAAACATGATGTATGAGGTCCTTTGAAAAGAGTCTCAATCCTAATCTTCCGAACTCTTCAAAGTGTAAAGTGCCAGAATAAGTCCATTAACCACAATATGTATCAATGCCAGGTGGTTGGCAAGCCTGGTAAATAAGATTTGCCATTTGAACCAAGGTTTTATAGTCCATGTTAGAAACCCACACATGAAAGCATCCAGATAAATTAGGAGCACAGATTTTTCAGTCCTGTGCAGGTAATTGATTAACCGTAATCCATTTAAACTGCTTGAAAAATATAGTGTCTGCAACCAGTGATGCACAGTCCAAGGTCTAGGAAAACTGAAAATGCTTCATTATCCAAAGCCATGACATCCAGCAGAACTAAACCTGTATCCCGAGTCTTTAATACCAGGATTTATTTCTCTGTGGAAGAGATGCTCTTGATCCAAACATCAGTGTGTTCTATCTCACTGCACACTTCTGGCTGTCGTGGCACGTATATCAAACTCTCCATAAAAAGACTTGTTGGCAGGTCCCATGGCTCTTCCATAAAAGTCTTTAATTTTCAATGATTCCCTGAGATCTCCATAAAATTATTGTGAAAGCAGTAAAATACATCAAATATTAGCATCCATCTGAAGGCACATAGATCTTTCAGCCTTGTCAAAAAAAAGGCAATTCACAGTTATATCCTATGCAGCAAATAAAAATAATAGAGAGAGCTTGAGAAACGCCAGCCTGCTGCTCTGTACAATCCAGTGTCTGTGATAAGCTGTACAGCTCTGCCTGCCTTCTCCAGAACTGACAGACAAGCTCCTAGCAGAGAGCTTAAGAAACGCCCTTCTGATTCCTTAAGCAACATCTGCTACTATCCCATTCGTGCTCCCAGCTATTATTCTTTTGGTAGGTGACTGACCTCCCAGCACTACCCCGTACGTTTCCTGCCCCATACAGCTCCAATTTAATGTGACTTTGTCTTCAAGTGGGCTCAATAAACAATGCAGAAAACAACCAAGCTGATGCTTATCTATGCAACTAACGCAAGCCTAATTCAGATGTAAAAGAACCAATAAGAGCCTATTTTAGATGTAGAAGAACCAATAAAAGCCTAACTTAGATGTAGAAGAACCAACAAAAGCCTAACTTAGATGTAGAAGAACCAATAAAAGCCTAATTTAGATGCATGAATCTACTTTTTGACAAGCTGTAAGAGGAAAGTGATAACTAAAAGATATCTAATGTGTTTGAGAAAGAAACATAACTAAAGGTACTGACCTGCCTGCAATACAAATGCACAGTGGGGTTGAGTTACTAACCCTCCGGTGACATCAAGCCCGACTTTGAAATCGTGCGAGTTACAGTGAAGTCGCACAAATTCAAAGTCGGGTTAGACTCCGATTTCAGGTGCGATTTGCATAGAAATCTGTGTCAGATGTCTTGCAAAACGCACCTGAAATCGGAGTCTAACCCGACTTTGAAATCTGACACAGATGTCAATGCAAATCGCACCAAAAATAGTGCATATACTACTTTAGAAATCGGTGTGGCTCCGACTAAGTCAGAATCGCACCGATTTGACTGCAGTAATTGTGGACAATAGGGTGTGACTTGGCATATGAGTTGCAAGCCACGTGGCATGCAAATCGCATGCCAAGTCCCACCCGATGTGACCGGGGTGTAAAACTGGAATGTGCAAAATCTGGTGCAGCTGTGTATGGTAGCCAATCAGCTTCTAACTTCAGCTTGTTCAATAGCTTTGACAAAAAAAACCTGGAAGCTGATTGGTTTCTATACAGAGCTGCACCACTTTTTTCACTCGTCAGTTTTAGTAAATCAACCCCACTGGGCATTTCTATTGCAGGCAGTTTTGTGAAGTTTTAGTAAATCAACCCCACTGTTACAGTGGGGCAAAAAAGTATTTAGTCAGCCACCAATTGTGCAAGTTCTCCCACTGAAAAAGATGAGAGAGACCTGTAATTGGCATCATAGGTAGACCTCAACTATGAGAGACAAAATGAGAAAAAAAAATCAAGATAATCACATTGGCTGATTTGGAAAGAATTTATTTGCAAATTATGGTGGAAAAAAAGTATTTGGTCAATATCAAAAGTTCATCTCAATACTTTGTTATATATCCTTTGTTGGCAATGACAGAGGTCAAACGTTTCCTGTAAGTCTTCACAAGGTTGGCACACACTGTTGCTGGTATGTTGGCCCATTCCTCCATGCAGATCTCCTCTAGAGCAGTGATGTTTTGGGGCTGTCGCTGGACAACACGGACTTTCAACTCCCTCCAAAGGTTTTCTATGGGGTTGAGATCTGTAGACTGGCTAGGCCACTCCAGGACCTTGAAATGCTTCTTACGAAGCCACTCCTTCGTTGCCCGGGCGGTATGTTTGGGATCATTGTCATGTTTGAAGACCCAGCCACGTTTCATCTTCAATGCCCTTGCTGATGGAAGGAGGTCTGCACTCACAATCTCACGATACATGGCCCCATTCATTCTCTCCCGTACATGGATCAGTCGTCCTGGTCCCTTTGCGGAGAAACAGCCCCAAAGCATGATGTTGCCACCCCCATGCTTCACAGTAGGTATGGTGTTCTTTGGATGCAACTCAGCATTCTCTCTCCTCCAAACACGACAAGTTGTGTTTCTACCAAACAGTTCTATTTTGGTTTCATCTGACCATATGACATTCTCCCAATCCTCTTCTGGATCATCCAAATGCTTTCTAGCAAACTTCAGACGGGCCCGGACATGTACTGGCTTAAGCAGGGGGACACGTCTGGCACTGCAGGATCTGAGTCCCTGGCGGCGTAGTGTGTTACTGATGGTAGCCTTTGTTACATTGGTCCCAGCTCTCTGCAGGTCATTCACTAGATCCCACGTGTGGTCCTGGGACTTTTGCTCACCATTCTGGTGATCATTTTGACCCCACAGGGTGAGATCTTGCGTGGAGCCCCAGATCGAGGGAGATTATCAGTGGTCTTGTATGTCTTCCATTTTCTAATTATTGCTCCCACAGTTGATTTGTTCACACCAAGCTGCTTGCCTATTGCAGATTCAGTCTTCCCAGCCTGGTGCAGGTCTACAATTTTGTTTTCTCGTGTCCTTCGACAGCTCTTTGGTCTTCACCATAGTGGAGTTTGGAGCGTGACTGTTTGAGGTTGTGGACAGGTGTCTTTTATACTGATAACAAGTTCAAACAGGTGCCATTGATACAGGTAATGAGTGCAGGACAGAGGAGCCTCTTAAAGAAGAAGGTACAGGTCTGTGAGAGCCAGAAATCTTGCTTGTTTGTAGGTGACCAAATACTTATTTTCCACCATAATTTGCAAATAAATTCTTTCCAAATCAGCCAATGTGATTGTCTGGATTTTTTTTCTCATTTTGTCTCTCATAGTTGAGGTCTACCTATGATGCCAATTACAGGCCTCTCTCATCTTTTTAAGTGGGAGAACTTGCACAATTGGTGGCTGACTAAATACTTTTTTGCCCCACTGTATCTATGTAAATGCAGATAATGAACTTCTCTTGTTCAGTCCCTTTCTGTCTGTTAAAGTGGTAGTGAAGTCTTAAGAAAAAAAAATCTTCCCCCCAGGGCAAGTTAATGGCATAACCACTTGCCCTCCGGAAGACGTATTCCCCTTAGGACCAGGCCATTTTTTGCTATACGGCACTGCACTGCTTTAACTGACAATTACAGTCATGCAACACTGTACACAAATTTTTATCGGTTATGTAATTTTTTTTACACAAATAGAGCTTTCTTTTGGTGATATTCACCAAAATCACCACTGGGTTTTTTATTTTTTGCGCTATTAAAGAAAAAAAGACTGAACATTTTTTAAATAAATATATATATATTTTTTTCTTTTTTGCTATAAAACATATCCTACAAAATAAAATGTCTTCATAAATTTAGGGCAAAAAGTATACTGCTTCTGTATTCTGTCTTTGGTAAAAAAAAAAAATCCCAATAGGTGTATATTAATTGATCTACATTAAAATGATAGCATCTATAAGTGACGGTATATATACTCCATTTTATTTTAATACTAGTAATGGTAGTGATCAGTGATTTATAGCAGGACTGTGATAGTACAGCATGCATTCTGACAATGGCTAACTATGACTGACATGACCAGTAACACTAATACAGTTATCAGTGCTAATAAAATGCATCTTGACTAAAATGTGTTGACTGTGTATTGTTTTACTAGGGGATGTGCTTTGCAGGGAGACAAAAACTGGCACATCCCTTCTGTCAGTTCAGAGTTCTTTCTTGTTTACTAACACAGATCTCTCTCTTTGTCACAGCTCTAAGTCCTCATGCACACTGGAAGTTTTTAAAGCTGCTGTTTTTGGCTTTTGATGTTTTTTTCTACAGCCAGTAAACTCCCCAGCATGTTATCCTATGTGTCCATGCACACACAGACTGTAATCAACGTTTTTTGGCAGGGATGTTTTTTGGCTGGGAAAAAAACCCAGGAATAGTGGGTTTCTAGAGGTGTTTTTTAGCTGGAAAAACGCTCTAACGCTGAAAAAGATGGCAAAACGAAGTAAATTGCGGCAACCCAGCATTTTTGTACTTTTTTGACTAAATAAAAACCTCTAGAAAAAGCTAAAAACCACAAACGCGAAAAAATGTGGCAAAATGTCGCTAAACACTAACACAAACATGCTAAAAAACACAGAAAAAACTCACGTTTCTAACGTGACTTTATACAGGCTGGGACCCCGCTGATCGGCATGTCAGGGAGTCAATGATAGTGCAGGTAGGCAGGAACGCGCACCACTTACCTGGAAAAGCAAAATCATGTATATATAAGTGATTCTGCACAACCGCCCCACACTGTAGCAGTAAAGCTACAGTGTGTGGTCGGCAAGAGGATAACGTGCTAGTATGCGGCACATACTAACACACTATGACAGA